CCCCAAATCCACTTCCAAGGTTGAAATCCTTCCCATTTTAAGAACGCAGTTTCAGTGTGGCCAGTACTTGAGAAGGGGCAGACCTGTGGCTTAAAGTGATAAGTGAACTGATTCAGTATTATTACATTGTTGAAATCTACCTTGGAAATCTTTATGATATGTTATGTGCTATTTGGAATTTGCTACAGAATAAGAAAATAATGTACATGCCAAAGCAAGTTTTAATTCATTCATATACCAAAATTGCTCCTGTTTTTTTCTTACAGGGTCCTATGGCATTGCTGCTGACTTACCTGCCGTTGGAGGGAACGAAGGAGTTGGGCAAGTGATGGACACAGGAAATTCTGTGACGAGTTTGAAACCGGGAGACTGGGTGATCCCAGCTGATGGAGGACTTGGTGAATTTTTGGGGGGGAGAGGAATCGAAGCAAAACACTTGTTTTCCTTTTGTCCAGTTCCTTTGCTGAGCTTTAAATGTTTGACAACAAATCGCAGTGGATAGATTGCCACAAAGAAGCCAAGTCAAAGATGAGGAAACCATTTTGTAGCATAGCCCAATGTGTGGAACATGGTGGCTGTTTGCAAACCACAGTTTATAACTTAATACATTGTACAAACCCAATCTTTTCAATGGTTTTATCTGTTCAGTGTTTCTTGACAACACTTTAGGCCTCTTCTGAGAGCTGAGAACTTCCAGATTGTGATGAACTTGTTCCACATCTTGAATCATATCTCTCTTTTTAAAATAATCCTTTACAAAAGGAACTTGGCGAACAGAAGCGGTATTTGATGAGAAAACTCTGCTGAAAATCCCACCGGATATTCCATTGACTTGTGCTGCCACACTGGGTGTTAACCCCTGCACAGCTTATCGGATGTTGTCTGATTTTGAGACTTTGGAACCAGGTATGCATGTATATATGTTTGTTGAATTTGTATGACTGCTCAACTTGAAAATTGTACACGAAAACATACAAAAACTCCACAAGATAAACAATCCCAATTAAAATCCAGTAAATGTTAATAGGTGATCAGTTCTCCACATGATTATCAACCCCCAGTCATCCTTAGCCCCACACCTGAAGAAAAAGCCAAATTTTCTAAAAGCCAATGGGGTCATAGCCAGAAGGATATAGGCAGTCCTCGCCTCCAAACAGTTCATTTAGTGACCGTTTGAAATTATAACATCACTGAAAAAAGTGACTTATGACCGTATTTCACGCTCACAACAGCATCCCCAAGGTCACGTGATTTACATTCGGACGCTTGTCTCACATTTATGACGGTTGCAATATCCCGGACTCATGTGATCACCTTTTGTGACCTTCTGACAAGCAAAGTCAATGAGGAAACCAGATTCACTTAACAACTATGTTACTAATTTAACAGCTGCAGGGGTTCACTTAGCAAGAAAAGTCGTAAAATAGGGCAAAACTCACTTAACATATTTCTCACTTAACAACATAAATTTTGAGCTGAATTGTCATAAGTTGAGGATTGCCTGTATTGTAGCCAATGGCATCAGCGGCTGTTAAACCTTAAAGGACATATGTAGTACCACCGTCTTGGGGGCCACCAAAGATCATGGCCAAATGTGACAAGGCTGTCTCAGTAATTATCCCAATCTGAATCTAATCCTAAATGAAAAGACACTAGATAATCTAGATTGATGTAGGCACTCTTTCTTCCACATCCTGACCTACATTATCTTCTTCCAAAAATTTTTTTGCTGTAGGCTGACTAGAATTACTTCACCTTTACTGATGTCAAATGTTCATGAAGTTATGATTAGTTAGGCAAACGGGAAATTTAAGAGCTGAGGTGTACATTTTTTAATTTCATTTTAAAAAACTGAATTTCCTTGTCTTTTTCCAAGACCTATTGTTAAATTGGGAATAAAATGTGTCTGATGATATGGTGAGTTTCCACTGGCTGTGCTTATTTTCTCCAACACACAATAATGTTCCACTTGAGGGGAGCAGGAAATAAATATTTTTGAAGCCCAGGATGACATGTCTGTTTGTCTGTAGGGGAGTCTGTCATCCAAAATGCAGCCAATAGTGGAGTGGGACAGGCTGTAATCCAGATTGCAGCAGCCAAGGGCATCAAAACAATAAATGTAATAAGAGATAGGTGAGTGTGCCTAACAAAACTGTTTTTCCCCTCTTTTTCCTGTTGCTTTTGCCCAGTTAGATCCTTTTGGTTTATGCTAAAGTCTGCACAAACAGGACATTCTCTTAGACGCCGTTTATTAGATGGAGATTGTATGAATCTTAGATGGCATTATATGACAGCATTATAGTTTGTAACCTATGGTAAGACCACACTTGAAATACTGTATCCAGTTTTGGTCACCATGATATAAAAAAGATGTTGAGACTCTGGAAAGAGTGCAGAGAAGAGCAATTAATATGATTAAGGACTGGAAGCTATACAGGGGTGGGATTCAAAAATCCCAGCAACCGGTTCGCTGCCCAGTTGCTGGGTAGGCGTGGCCATGGTGGTCGTGGCCTACTGGAACTTCCTGTTTCCAGCTTTTGGTGGACCTTCAGAGCCCAGGGGAAGCTATTTTCACCTTCTGAAGAATCTGGAGGCTTCCCCGGGCCTCTGGGAGGGCAAAAACAGTCTCCCTCAGGCTCTGGAGGCCTACCGGAAGCCGGAAAGAGGCCCGTTTCGCGACTTCCAGAAGGCCCATTTTCTCCCCCTCCCAGAGCCTCCACACAGACCATGCACTTACTTCCATCGAAAATGGGCCATGTGGAGACTCTTGGGAGGGGTGGGTGGAGCCAGCTGGTCGGTTGAAATACTGGTTTGGCAAACCAGCTGTAACTTTAACATCTGGTTCACCCAAACCAGTCCAAACCAGTAGAATCCCACCCCTGAAGCTATATAAAGAATGGTTTCAGGAAGGGTGTATGTCTAGTCTAGTGAAACGAAGGACTAGGGGAGACATGATAGCAGTCTTCCAATATCTCAGGGGCTGCCACAAAGAAGAGGGTAAAACTTGTTTTCCAAAACACAAGAAGGCAGGACAAGAAACAATGGATTGGAAACCAATCAAGGACAGAAGCAACCTAAAACTAAAGAGAAATTTTCTGACAGAATAATCAACCAGTAGAACAGTTTGCCATCAAAAGTTGTGGGTGCTCCATCACTGGAGGCTTTTAAGAAGAGACTGGACAGCAATTTGTCTGGAATAGTATAGGATCTCCTGCTTGAGCAGGGAGTTGGACTAGAAGACCTCCAAGGTCCCTTCCAGCTCCGATTATAATGATGATGAGCGTTGGGTTTCACTAAGCACATACAAAAGGTTTTCCAATTTATATCTGAGACAATACATTTTTAAATTTGAATACAGGACTTTAATATGAGAACATGTTTTGGATTTGATCTGAAAAGATGCTTTGGAGTATATATGAGGGCACAGATGACTGCCGTTCCTTAAAGCAGCTGAGTTTTTTTCCCCCCTGGAATTGAACAGCAATTGTGGAGAGCTTTATCTGAAAGCTTCAGGCTTGTACAGTTACTTGGAGCTATTTTTTATTCATAGCAATTGATAGATTTACTCTTTAACGCAAGCGTTCTGAATGAGAGCTAGGTCTTATCAGCAGTTGTCTTCACAGAAAAAGTCTCGTCTGTAGAACATGCATATAGAAGTGATCTGGATCAGGGGTCTCCAACCTTGGCAACTTTAAGACTTGTGGATTTCAACTCCCAGA